AATCTTGGGAAGGGCCTAATGTAATTCATAGCTCCTTGCCCAGTAACCCTTTGAAAATAAAATTCGTTTCTTCAAATCTTTTCTCCATGAACTGACATGAATATAAGTAAAAGTACAGTAGAGTAAAGGACCTCTTCCACCCCTTCAGACGACTGGGCAGATAGGGCTAGACCTAGATTTTATAGACAAATCGGCACTCGGTAGTTAGAGTCAACATAATGCCAACTGGCTTAACTTCCCAGGACTGCACCTGGTACCCATTCAAGGCTGGGTCAACCTGGGAGTCAAGGTCATTTTATTTGTAAAAGTCCCAGCCATCAGAACTCGAATCCACGACCTTTAGATCCGCAGGCATCTAGCCGCTACACCTCGGCGGCCCTCGATTCGAATAATTAATTATTTAAATAAAACTTCAAATCTTTCATCAATATCCAGCAGTTGTAGTCAATTCAGTCCAAGAACTGACCCTATGACCTTATCATAAGTTAAAGCATCAGTGTCCACTCATCAGTTTTACAATATTCCAGAAGTGAACTTAAAAACGAGTTTTAAGTTAAACGGCAACAGCAACAACCATCATGTCATTATTACGTTAGGAAAGAAATGTAGAGAGTGGGTTAACGATATGGCAGAATTAGAGGTACAACAACTGATACAAAACGAGGCTGGGAGAGATATTGCAACAGTGTAGACTGATGGTTCTGTTCGGCGGGGTGTAAGATCTGGCTGGGGATTGTCAGCTAGAATCAAGGGAAAGATTGTGGCAGAACAAAATGGAGCTTTTTGTATCTACAACTTCAAGTACGAGGATGAAAGGGGAGGCAACCACTGCAGCTCTGAGCTGGATGGCAGAAAACAAAGTTACAAGAGGATTTATTGATTCTCAGTCGGCACTGCGGAGGGTTCAAAATGGACTAATGTGGCATGGGTGGATACCAAGCATCAGTAGGCCAACACTGCGGAGAGTCAGATGGATACACTGTTCGGGAAATGCAGGAGTGTGAGGGAATGAAACAGCCAATGTTCTGGCTACAAAAGCGAATGCTGCGGGAACGGTCGTACTGGACGAGAGAGCTATTGTGAAGACCATATACGAACGAATGTTGACAGAAAACATGAGAAGAGATAAAATAACATGTACAGGAATGCGTGAACGAGTAATTAAGGTGCATCCGGCAAGGAGGGAAGTATGAGCGGAAAAGAACGACGTGTGTATAGTGTGCTACGGGGACAGCAAGCATCTACACCTTGATACATTTGCTGCGGAACACGGAGCACCTTTGGGTATGCCCGGTGTGCTTGATGTCGATTCCTAAATCAGTAATCAATCAGTAATCAGTTGTAAGTTAAAGTATCTATGTCTGGTCTTCAAAAGTCAGCTTTTATAGTTTAGCATCATTTAATAGAAATAACAAATGATCAATTAAAAACGGGACTTTCCAGAAACTGTAAATTAACGTTTGTTGAGTTAATGGATTGTATTTAAGAGTTGCTATAATTTCAATAAAATATCCACTCATCAAGATTACATTGTCTTTATCCGCATCTTTAAAGAGACTAACTCCACAAATGTGTGATAATTTAGAGAATAACTATACATTTATCAAAACTGATAAGCGAGACCTCGGGTCACGAACTTAATTCGTTCTTTGGCTCCGTTCGTGAACCGAAATGTCGCGAACAATTTTTCCAATTGAAACTAATACAATTCTAATTATTCACTTTTCTAGCCAATGAACCTTTTTTTTTTTCTTTTCGCTAACCTTCAGAGTTGATACAGTTTGCAAATTCTCGCATATAAGCATATTTTTTTTTGAGGGGGAGGGGGGGGGGAGCTTTTTTTAGTTGCGTATCCTTTACAGGACGTTGCAAAACCAACCCTAGCATTTTATTGCTGTTGTGGTTTTTCTAGGCAAATTTACGACCAGTAGTTTGCCATTGCTGTCTGGACTGTCGACTTCTCAAAACCACTGTCGATATCAACGCAAGGCGCAAAGCCTGCAGCTGGGATCTAACACGGTACCCTGGCATTACAAAGTTCGTTCGCAACCTTATACTTATGTTTATTCAACGGATCAGCCTCATATCGCACGGGTATAACCCATAGGTGTGTCGTTCTACTTCTAACTCAAGCCTGAGTCTAAATTATCTCAGCGCAGTGCACGAACTCTGTTGCACCGGATCCTGAAATACTTCGGGTAGATTTTTAACTCCAAAATTTGTCCAGGCAGCGCCGTTTGGCTACTGTTTTTCGATTTTCAACGATGCATTACGTGCGCAGCAATATACACGGACGTCCGGTGTTACTACCCAGATACTAGAGAAAATTACTAAATGTCCATCTGAAAAAAAATATCAGCCTTCACTGGTGTTGAACCCGAGACCTTCAGCACTCGAGAAGGATGCGTTAAATCGAGACCACTAAGCCAAAATTAGCTAGGTACCTCTCCGTGATAAAAAACAAAATTAATTCCAGTTTGTCGACGAAACTTCTTGATATAGGCTCTACTAGCTTTAAATTGGTCAGCACTAGCATGACTTGTAAACACGCGTCTTCACCACTCAGTCACTTTTTTGTGTGTGTGCATATCATGGATTCACTTTCACTATCTCCAGCAAGCTTTTCTTCTTCTTCTTTTTATGTTATCTACTCATGGAATGCCTCGCGGCGTCAGGGCGGGAAGAGATACATGTAACGCTCCCTTATGTTCAGTGTCTTTGATATTTCTGCGGTCCATTTTCTGGTCGACCTCTGGTTCCGTTATCGTTGTATCTGTATAACATTGCTCTTTAATTAACCCATACTAACAAAAAACTCTCTGCTTCTAACACTTGAGAACTTTGTTTCGTTAACATGGTCATTTCTTTAGCAACGTCAGGCCGTCATTTTTGAGATCGTACAGATCATAGATATAACTACGTTTTGTAGACTACGTGTATGGATACATTGTCCAGATCATAGATATAGCTACATCGTCCAGATCGTAGATATAGCTACGTCGTCCAGATCGTTGATATAGCTACGTCGTCCAGATCTTAGATTTAGCTACATCGTCCAGATTCCATTAAAATTAAAACAATTAACAGTTGAAGATATGACCTGTATTTTATTCAAAGCAAGCCTCGTGTGCATTAATACAGCAAGTGGCACGATCTAACAAACACTGAAACTACCTCTGTAGTTCTTCTGTTGTTATGACCCTTAAAGTCGATGTTACGGCCCTTTGGTTGTCATCAAAATCGTTAAAAAATGCGTCCTTTCAATCGAAACTTTAATTTTGAAAATAGAAAATGTTCATAGGGAGACAAACCAGGGAAATAGGGTGGAGGGTTGAGAATATACTCTTGTTTTTAGGCCAAAAATTCTTGTTTTCATGTTGTCTCTTGGGTATTCAACCAGCTGATGTTCTTGGTCATCAAACAACGAATGTGGTACAAACCGGCAAGCAACTTTTTTCTTACCAAAATCTTGCACTAAAATGTTATGAATGGTCTCTATATTATCACCAGATTCACCTGCCATTATCTTAACAGTAAAACAATGATCTTTTTGTATCCGTTCTCTGACTTTTGCAATGAGTTCATTATTACAAACATAAATTTGGCATCCAGGTCTAGGTGCATTAATAATCTTTTCTACACCGGTTTTGAATCGTGAATACTACCTGAAAATTTGTGGACTGTATAAACAATTATCCGCATAAACTTGTTCAATGAATTAAACTGTTTCAATAGCACTATTTCTCAGTTTTAAAAAGAATTTAATCTTAGCTTTCTGCTCCGTGCTGATAACGTAACAATGCATCTCTGACTAGTTTAAAAAATGGCGGCTTGTTAGTTGTCTGCTTATCGAGTGGGGATGAAAAGTTGCCAGAACATAGATGAATGTTGGCTCTTTAGATTGCTTGCTTTGCTTTTCAAATGGCACTTTTAACCATAATAAAATCTATTTCATTGCTTAGATGTTAGACCTTGCATGTATATATATATATATATATATATATATATATATATATATATATATATATATATATATATATATATATATATATATATATATATATATATAATCACATATAGAAATGTCCTTTTTATACCCACAACGATAATGGTAATACATCAGTGGTGGCTGGTGTGAGCGGAGATTGCTTACAGTGTTTGGATGAGGCTGTTGAGTCAGGCCCATTCCCATACACAAAATGTTTATTGGAGTGGAAAAGCACTGGGTTTTGGAACCACTGTGTGTAAGAACGTTAAAGACTTTTGTGATGCCTGTGTCATCATATGATGGTACAAATAATGCCTCCTCTCATCTCATCAAATCTCATCGCAGTCCTTGCGGTATCAAGGTGAAGTATAATTTACAGGAAAGTATTCTGGACCACCTAGGAAAAATTAACCTGATGCAGTTTTGACAACAATGTATTTTATACAAGATTTTCAAGGAAAATGTGCTTGCACCCTAATGCTGATGATTTATAACATGTCTCACAAACTCAATCAAAAACTTGGAAAGAGCTGTGAATAAAATATTTTGTATGCCACCCCCTCCCCCTCCCTCACTCCACCCCCTCTATCTCTCTCTCTCTGTCTCTATCTTTCTTTCTGTTTGTGTTTGTGTGTGTGTGTGTCTTGGTGGGAGTAAAAGCGTGCGTGTTTGTGTGTGCACATGAGGATATGTGTGGAATACGTTAACTTCAGCATTCCTGCGTTTATACGAAAGTACAACATGAAACGAAGCGACGTATGTTGTAAAGCCATTTATTGAGTTTCATAATAAGTAAATGAGAGAAATTATACTTGCTATGTAATGTAAATAATTACATTCACTAATTACACTTCCATCTTATTTAATATTTTATAGTAAAGATTAGTAAAGCCTAACTAAAAACAAAGTTTCAGATACTTATAAACTCGGTGTCTGCTTATACAGTTGTCCAACATCACATTCCGTTTCTTGCCTGGATTTATATCTTTCCAACATTTCTGCCTGACTGGCT